CTCGACGAAAAAAGTTACGGAAGAAAGAAGATGAAGAAAAAAAACGGACAATAAGAATAGGGGCCACGCCCTACAGGCTTGGGCCCCTAACTACTGTGATTGCATAGCGATACCTGTAGGGCCATTGTCAATTAGTTCGCCTGATCAACACAGCGTTATACATAGGGCTGAAAATGTTGTGATACTAATCTCTAGAACCACTCAGATTGGTACATATGTCTTATGAACCCACATGTGTATATCTTTAATAATACTCATTTTATTTTATTTTTTTACAGTGGTGCTGTGAACTGCTTCAATTTCGCAAGGCAATTTTTTCTGGGTTCCTACAACATGGAGTGTCAGGGACTTTATTGAAATGTTGTACTCAAATTTCATGAAATCCTGAATATATCTAGAAGTGAAAATTAAATGGTTTACAGTATTTTATACCCATTAATAATGATTGAAATGCAGTACTATCACTGCACTAAAAAGACTTCGAACAATTATTGTTACTTCTCCATTGAAGGTTATGAGCAGACCAACCTTTATCACTACTGGCTTTCTTAATTATTACATGTACTTGCTCTGAAAACATAGCTTTTACAATTGTTTAAATTAACAGATGTTGTTCTATGTACAATGAATACATTTTTCAATAATAAACCTTACTGTGTTAATAAAAAATTGTATTTGACAACATGAGAATGATTCTGATGCCCAGTGGTGATGATGAAACAAACCCAGGTCCTGGTAATATACTAAGACCTGAATAACAAAGAAGTCATGTACATCAAGGTTCACTCAGATTCATGAATGCAGTTTCTTGAGCAAGTATACATGTATGACAAATAGTTTTGTTGCACTTGTGTACTCTGAGATTCTGAACAGGGGTAGGTGGAAGTTTTTAGTTGTCAGTACAAAACTAGATTATGGGAAATCACTTTATGATGAGTTGTACCCACATAGAGTACATATTCATTCACCTGTTTGCAGATGTTCCTTGTACTACTTTATAATCAAATAACGGGGGACTATGACATTTCATGTCTTGTTTTGTATTCATTCTTTCTCTCTGGAACTCACTTTCACTTGGTTTGGTACCTTGTGCATTGGAGATCACAACTATGAATCTACTGATATATTCTGATGGATTCAGTCAATGATGGAGAGAGAAATCTAGGTCAGGGGAAGCCCTATGACCTCATAGATTTCCTTTCACATCACGCAACACATGACCAAGCTAAAGAGGGCAGCGTCGTCTTGCCTTATCTTCACTCTCCTGTTGCTCTGCACAGAGTGTGCATCGTGGCAAAACAGGGTGATTCAGTCTTCATTTTTAGCTCCGCTGTCGACTTTGTCGAGTGGAGCTTATCATATGAGTGATTTTCCGTCGTTTGTGTCAATGTTTTACTTTTCCGACTTCTTCTTGAAGACTACAAGCCTGAATGCTTTGATACTTGGTATATATGTACCTTGGGTAGACCTCTCTCAGATTTGTTCATTTCATGATGATATCTTCAATTCTCTAATTTTGGTGAATATTTTTGTCATTTTTGGTAAAAAGTGATATTTTCAACTTCTCGTTAAAAACCGCAAGTCCAATTGTTTTGATATTACATATATAGGTACTATATGTGGACCTCTCTCAGATTTGTTCATTTTGTAATGATATCTTTAATTCTCTAATTTTGGTGAATATTTTTGTCATTTTTGGTAAAAAGTGATATTTTCGACTTCTTGTTAAAAACCGCAAGTCCAATTGCTTTGATATATTATACATATAGGTACTACATGTGAACCTCTCTCAGATTTGTTCATTTTCTAATGATATCTTCTGTTCTTTAATTGCCATGTGCATTGCTAACAGCGGAGCTATCTCAGCCGACAGGCTGCTTGTTAATTTTAATGTCCAGTATCAGAAGTCAGAAGTCTTGCCACAGAAGCGACGCCAGTTTAATAGTGCAGTGAAAAAGAAAGACGAAACGACAACCCCTTGGTGTGCCTCTTTGATGGTTTATCAGCAGACAACGGCAACCAATGACCACAGTCGGCGGGCCGTTTGATGGTTCACAGCGTCGAAGTGTTTACGTCCGATGATCACAGTAGCCAACCTGGATTTTTACAACAACTTATTATGTCAATCGTTCTAGGTATTAAAAACTTTGCTTAATCCAATAAAATCGGGACATCTTGTAGCAGTTTACCATTCGAA